CCCGTGGGCGGCAGCTTCCTCAGAGAGTCCTTCGCGCCAGGCGCTTGCCTCGCACCAGGCTCACGAGCGGCGCACGCATCCAACTCTTGGGAGGCAACTCATTCGCGGGAGGTCCCCGTCGGAAGGATTCAGGAGGACGAAGCCCCATTCGGGGGATGTTGCGCCAGATTGGGCCGCGTAATAAGCGTGACTCAGCCGGATTAAGCTGGATTTCGGACCAGTGCAAAGTCAGAGCTTGACCTCCCAGGAGTTGCATCCGAACAAGTTCCCGCCCTCGCGGTCTGGGTTCTAGGGCGCGATCCCGCGGATACGCGTCCGCACGGACATGTTCCGCGCGGGGCATCCGCGAAAAAAACGCCCCGTATCCGCGGGGTCGCGTCCCAGGGGCCCGGCCCGCGAGGTCGCGGCTACGGACATGTCTTTCGCCTAGCCACAGTCCGTGGGGCGCCGCCGAGCGCTATCTGATTCTCCCTTGACGCGCTTAAGCCCTCTCGGCTCTCGCCGAAGTCATCTATGATACACCGCTCTGCCCGATTATGGCCATCCTGGGAGTTGGATGGTGAATCGACGCTCGTGGCCCCGTCTAGAACATGGCATGCCAGGTCCCTTGCGAGGTATGGTGGTGGTGCACATGTGTCCTCTGCCTGCAGCTGCTCCCGCCTGGCCGTTCTCGTGGCGCAGCCAGGCCTCCCCGATTATCGTCTAGACCCTCCCGACAGTGCTTGCACTTAGGGTTTCTTACTTCGGCTCCACAAGAGATCGGTCGGGTCCGCCGGGGAGTTTTTCATAACCCCAAAATCTTGTTTTTCTGGGGCAGGAAAATCGCGACCCTCGCCTGTTCTGCTTATTCGCCTTGTGCCTGCGATTGTGGGCTTGCGGCCTCTCCACCGTTTTCCGCTGTGCTCCGCCTGCTTCCGCTGTGCCGCCGCTGCTTTGCTGCCGCCGCCCTGAAAAGCCAAGGGCAAACAGTCCTCGTGCACCAGGCGCTCGCCCCCTCACTCGGTTCTCCGACGGGGAGCGCCCAGGGAAGCCAAGAGCAAAAAGGTCCTTGTGTACTAGGCGCTCGCGCCAACGCTCGGTTCCGCAGTAGGGAGCGGGTCGCAGCCTGGACAGGGCAAACCCAAGGCAGCCGCAGTTCCTGGATAAGGAGGGTCTCTGCCTGAACAAAGCAAGCCCACGAGGCAATGTTCGGCCCCCCGAGAGGGAACGGGTCCTTGCCTGGACAAGAACCCACAAGTTCAGCCGCAGCCCTTGGACAAAGAACGGGTTCTTGCCTCGGACAAGGGACGGGTACCTGCCTGGACAAGGCGAACCCACGCGCGGCAAACGCTCGGTTCCCCCAAAGGGAATGGGTCCCTACCAGGACAACGCGATCCAATTCAGCCGCATTTCCTGGATAAACAATAGGTCCCTGCCTGGATAAGGCAAATTCACGCGGCAGCCGCAGCCCTTGGACAAGGGACGGGGCTCTGCCTGACCCTCGACGAGGGTTAGCCGCCACCAAGCCGGAAGGCGACCCAACATCCACAGGTCGCCGCGGATTGTCCGGACAAGGTAACCGCGGCGAGAGTGGACAAACGATTGGGTTTTCGCCCGCGCTCCCAGCTCTATTTCCTAGTTCGGCCCGTGCTCTGGCGTACGGCGCGGGCAGCTTTCCAGTACGCGTGACTAACATGGTATTCGCCGCGCCAAAGCGTCGCGCGCGCCAGTCTGTTCTGGCACAGCCAGCGCGAGCTTCAATCCGGCCCCAGTGCCGGTCGCTGCGAGCGCGATGGTTTGAGCATGTTTCGCGCGAGTTTCAGCACCGAGCGTGTTTCTGTTGTCATTGGCGACGTGCGCTCGCCCCGACGCGGGAGCTTGCGCTTGCCCTGTCCGATTCAGTGTGCGTTGCAATGCTTTTCAGGTTGTGCGTGTCTTATTTACTGTTCGTCGGTTTGGTTTCTTTGGGTTCTTTGCGCGCGCAGGCATCCAGCGGAACCGCCCTCGAGGTGCAGGCGGGGCGTGACTCCATCCGTCCGCGTTTTCTCGCTGTTTTTTTGTAACATTCGAAAGCCCGATTGATCGCAGCGAGAAAAATCCCTCCATCCCCCGTTTCCCGCTCGCCCCGCTGCCCTGGTTACCTCCCGTGGCGTTCGATCCCCCCGCCCGAGAAACGGTCTTGCGATGTGCGTCCATTGTACGAGCGCTGGAGTAGAATGCGCCCCCCTCATGGGCATTTGGGGTTATCGCGGGGCGGCTTTGTATAACGTCGAACAAACAAAATGGCGCGTTCGTCGATAGCCGAACCCGACGGATCCAAACATATCGCCCCGGATGGTTTTCCAGCGGCGCTCGGTGCGCCGTGGGGCGGGGCCGGGAACTGTATCGGGATTGTGTGTTGGATTTTTTCGTTTTTTGTGCGCCGTCGGGGCAACAGTGAGGCCCCGTGTCCTGTCTCCATCTTCTTGGCTTTATTGTATCGCTTCGCTCATTCCGCCGGCCCATCCTGTATCAATAGTGCTATATGTGGGCGTGCTCGTGGCGAGCGAAAAGGAGGAGGAGGAGGAGGAGGAAAAGGAGGAGGAGGACGAGGAGGAGGAGGAGGACGAGGAGGAGGAGAAGGAGGATGAATAGAGGAGGAGGAGGAGGAGGAGGAGGAGGCGGCCTCTCGATGGTTTCTTGGGGCATTTTAGAGCCAAATTTGATCGTGGACGAGACGTCTCTTTGGGAGGCGTTTTGGGGTCTCTTGGGAGGCGTTTCGGGGGCGTCTTGGCAGGATTTCTAGGACCTCCTGGGGCCTCATGGGGGCCTCTTGGGGCCTCTCGGGGCCTCTTGGGGGCGTCTTGGGGTGTCCTGGGGATTTCTCGGAGCCTAGATCGCGAAATGTCTGTTCCGGTCCCCCGTCGGGGCCCGCTCTTGGATTCTTTCTCTCGCCCGCCCCCTCCGCCCTTCTGATTCGTCTCACCCCGAAATCTCGCTCGCCCTCCTCGCCTTCCTTTCCCCTCGTCGCCCCGTCGCCCCCCAGACCCCGCGTCCTCTTGTGTATCCTCCTCGCCCCCTCGTCGCCACCAGTCATGGGCGACTGGCGCAGTCCGGCAAGTTGCGGTGTGTGTGTGTGTGTGTGTGTGTGCCCATGCAGCATTTTGGGCTCCAGGCTTTGCCTCGGTTGTCCCGCGGTTGTCCCGCGGCTGTCCCGTGGCTGTCCCGCGGCTGTCCCGCCGCTTCCCATCGGCTGTCCCGCCGCCGCCCCGCCCGACGGCCCGCTTCCCCTCGGCAGTCCCGCGCCTGTCCCGCGGCAATTCCGCGGCTGTCCCGCGGCTGTCCCGCGGCTGTCCCGCGCCTGTCCCGCGGCTGTCCCGCGGCTGTCCCGCGGCTGTCCCGCGGCCGTCCAGCGCCGAACTGTTGCGGCTTGACGCTGTGTTGGGGCTTTGGCAGGCGATTTCCTGGTTTTCATTCCCACCAGCCCGCAGCATTTGGAATTGCAGCGGCCAACATCATCTGCGCCCCCCCCCCCCCCACGATTCCCATCTCATTGCGCAAGAATCGGCCAACGCTCCAATACATAGGCCACTTTCGTTTCTGTTCCTTTTCCTCCTTCTCCTCCTGTTCCTCGTCCGGCTCCCCTGTTCGTCCCCCTTTTGTTCCCATCTGTTCTTCCGCGTTCGTGCGTCCTTTGTCCCTCTTCCTTCCTCCCTCCTCCACTCCTCATGGTGAGGTTTCGCGAATCGTCGAGCATGAGCCCGTCCGTCTTATGGGACGGAAGAAATCTCACCAGCCTTCTGGGCGCAGGTGGTTTAGGGTATGGGCTCACCCCTTATTCGGTCTCGGGTATGGGCTCACCCCGCATCGCCCGCAGGGCGGAAAGGGACTGCTTAGCCAGCCTGTTTCCGAACCGCTCCAGATCCGCTTTTTGGCTTTAGAATATAACGCTGTGTGAGGATATTTCCGCAGTTGGGCCTGCAACCCGCCAGCCCACTAGGCCTACATGACATATACATATATATGTATGTATATACACATGTTGAGATGTAGATTCAGAATGGGTTCTTGCGCATAGACGAATCACGCACGTCCCTGTCCTTTCCTTTCCTCGCTCCATCTGTTGTTATTTCTCCCCAAACCAGGCGGGCCTTTTCGCTGAAGGATGGGACCGCATCAGTCACGCTGGCCTGCTCGACCTCTTCTTCCTCCTCTCTCAAAGGCTCTCCGCCCGGCGCCGCCGCAGCGGGCCTCAGACGTCCCCCCCGTGGGGCGTGTGTCCGCCCCCCTGCCGCGGGCGGCCGCCCGCCGCGGTTTCCCAGCCCCGCCCCGCGCCCGCGACCCCCGCCGCGGCCAGCCGGGGCAGAGTCCCGCCACCGCCCGTCGTCGACCCTCGCGGCCGCTGCCCGACAGCCCCTGGAGGCCCCCTGGCGGCCCCGCGGCGGCGCCACGACCGCTGTCCCGCCGCCGCGGCCCCGTCGTCGCCGCCGCTGTTCAGAGCAGGACGCGCCACCGGTGCAGATCTCCGTCCCTCGCCGCCACGGCCGGCTTCGCTTAGAAATCTTGGCCAGGTCGGGGGCGGAAAAGAGGTGGGTGATGACTAGGGGGTGGATATCATGGCGTGGGCCATGATGTTTCCCCAGATTGCATGGCGCCTCTTCTTATTTCATTAAGTCCCTGGTTCCCCCGCTGGGCCGCGCACATGCCGCTGGCCATGATTTGCACCCCCCCTCTTGGACACCCCCCTCTTGGCCGCTCCCGAAGAGGGGGCCGTGGACTAGGGGCATCGGCATCTTCCTGTTCCCCCCCAGCCGCTGTCGGAGGCCTCCGAAGTGGAGTCCGAGTGGATGGGGTCGGAGGATCGCGCTGCGTCGGCGATGCATCGCCGATAGTTGCATCGGCGATGCAGCGGCGACATCGGCGGCGCATCACCGACGTCGGCGAAGACAAACTCGAGCTCCGCATCGAGCCGCGTCGCCGCATCATCGGCAATATTGCAAACTTGGGGCTACCGTAAGGTCTTTGGTTTTCGTGGTCGCGACATGGACGCTCTCCGTGCTGTTTTTGCGCGGGCCCACTCGAGAGCGACCTTCCCTGCTCTGACCGTTCTGTCCGCAGTGGTTCCAGCCCTTCGTGGTTCCTGCCTCCCCGTGCCCCGACCCCAGCTGGGAGGCCCAGAGCTGCTCGGAGGCGGCCAGGAACGTCGGAGGAGTATCACGGTCGGGTGTTGCGAGAAGTGCCCTTACCCCAGGGTGACCCCCGAGTTCCAGGGAGGCCCCCACCCCAGGCACCCCTCACGAGGCCCAGAGGGCCTCGGGGGGTCCAACACCGAGCGCACAGCTGGGGGCACCCTGGGCGAAGAGCTGGGGGCACCCCCGGGGGGTCGCCAGGATACTCAAGGAGGCCCCCCACCGGAGGCTTCCCGGGTACCCCGCACGAGGCCCAGAGGGCCCCATGGGGCTCCAAGATCGAGCGCGAAGCTGGGGGCACCCTGGGCCACGGGCCCTCCGCCTCCTCCTCCTCCTCCTCCTCCTCCCTCCTCCCCCTCCTCCTCCTCCTCCTCCTCCTCCTCCTCCTCCTCCTCCTCCTCCTCCTCCATCTCCTCCTCCTCCTCCTCCTCCTCCTCCTCGCACATTCGCTGCTCGACGGTTGTGAGCACGCACCGTCGCCAAGGACCACGTGGGCATCGTGAACCGCAAGGCGGTCCTGATCGACCCCGCCAAGTTCGAGGAGCGCGCCAGCAACCTCTTCCAACAGGACGCGGACCGACGACACGAAGCGATCGATCAGGCCCGACAAAGCGCGCGCTCAGGCTCAGGCTCTGCAAAGGAAGTCTTGAAGGTGCAGCTCTGGAATCCGATCAGCAAGCGGCTGGTGCTCAGCGGTGTCAAGGCCAGCGAAGGCACAGTGCTGGGGCCCAACGAGAGGCTCGAAAAGCTTGTTGAGCACTGGCAACCTGTTTTCCAAGGCAAGCACGTAGACCTCGGGGCTGCGTCTGCCTACCTGAGAGTTTGCTCCCAAATTCGATTTCAGCCAGGTCGCTTCACCCACGTACGAGACGCTGCATAGATTCGCCAGGCCGATGTCTACCACATCGCCTGGCTTGGGTGGCCTCCCATACTTGGCATGGTCCTCACACTACAAGGTCACAGAGACAGAGACGCTCTGGGCGGTCATGTGCTGGATGTTGGGAGGAGGTTTTTCTACCTGATGAAGCCAACGCGACGGTCCAAGCGTTCCTGCCCAAAGAGGAACAACCAGACGATGCAGAACACCTTGGCTGCCACCGTGATACATGCAAAGTCAATGTCCTCGGTCTCAGGAACACGTCGCTGAAAATCATCAGCATCACGGTGAACGCAGCGATGGCCACGGTCGCAGCCCAGTGTGTCCCAGCACCGCAAAGGGGGTTATCCACCAACGGAATGTCGGGTACAATACCCTGGAGTTGGACGTGGAGAGCCGCATCGTGTCAGCGGACCCGACGCGTGGGACAAGCTGCCCGTCCTCGTGTCGCTGGACATCGACTAGGTCTTTCCCAGCTTCGCGCAACGGTTCATCCGGCTGGCGCTGTAGGCCATGGGTGCACCGCAGGCTCGATTGCTCTTCTTCCACGCCGGCGACCAACCAGCGACCCACCCCGCGACACACCCCGCGACACACCCCGCGACCCACCCGCGACCCACCCCGCGACCCATCCGCGACCCATCCCGCGACCCACCCGCGACCCACCCCGCGACCCACCCGCGACCCATCCCGCGACCCACCCGCGACCCACCCCGCGACCCATCCGCGACCACCCCGCGACCCACCCGCGAACCACTTGCGACCCACCCGCGACCCACCCCGCGACCCTCCTGCGACCCCCCCGCGACCCATCCCGCGACCCACCCGCGACCCACTTGCGACCCACCCGCGACCCACCCGCGACCCATTTGCGACCCATCCGCGACCCACCGTTGACCTAACCACATTGGTTTAACGAAAAAGATCTGCGCCTGCGGCGGGTTCGTTGTATAAATTGAAACGTTGGTGCCTGCGGCGGGCTTCCCTAGAATCTCGCAAACCGCCGACGTCCCCACCGCCGGCTCACTCTTATCCGCATCTGCGGGGTGCTACGTATGTGGCACTGTGCTACAACCGATCAGGACTTCTTCTCCAAAGCTGCGGTTGGAGTGACATTCTATGTGCTGTGGGGACGGCATGCTTCCTGCTCAACCTGGAGGAGGCGCTTGAGCGCAAAGGCTATGGGCTCTGCCGCGCCTTCTCAAGAACGAACGTTGGATCAATTCTTCGGTCTTGAGATTCCCGAATGTGTGGTTCAGGTTGCTGGAATGGGCGCATCTGCCGCAGTGGGGAGCGCCTGCGCCGCGGACCCTCCAGCTGACACTCCTCTTCACGAACGTCAGGGCGGCGACCACGACGTTCAAACTTCGGAGGTCCGTGAACGGGTACACTTCGGGCTGGAGAAGGTCGGGGATGTTGTGACGCTTGCAGGATCTGACCGTGGTGCTCACCATCTCTCATCATCGTGGAGACGCTGCACCGGGTGAAGACAGCAGCCTCAGCGCACCGCCATTACCCCAAGGAGCTCCTGCAGCCGGCACTCGATGGGGCTCGGGCCGCACTCGCAAGAGATCAGGTGGGAGCGGTCCAGAAGTGTTCAGGAGGGGAAAAAACACACAGACACATTTAATCGTCGACTCCCCAGAAAATATGGGAAAATATGGGAATTGGGCGGGAAGACAAGAACCCAGAAAATATGGGAAAATATGGGGAATCTGTTTATTTGTGTACATTCATTTGTGTGTCCCAGGGCCCCTTCAAATGTGCTTATCAAGCTGCGGTGGTTACCCGCAGTCACTGGCCCGCGGTGGAAGCCGGTGGGCCCCCTCCCTGGCCCACAGGATCGCGACCGAGTTTCCCCGAGCAGACCAGCGTGTTCGAGCTCCTCCTCCTCCTCCTCCTCCTCCTCCTCCTCCTCCTCCTCCTCCTCCTCCTCCTCCTCCTCCCCCTCCCCTCCCCCTCCTCCTCCTCCTCCTCCTCCTCCTCCTCCTCCTCCTCCTCCTCCTCCTCCTCGCAGAATGTCGCATCTTTTTCGGCGGAAAATGAAGAAACAGCCGCCGTCGTGGGCGACATCCTGGACGCGGACGCTCGTGTTCTCCTGGCTGAGTCTCACAGGATCATCAGCGAGATGGGGAAGAATAGCTGCATCTTCAAGTGCGCGGGCTGCGACGAAAGCCTCGTGCACTACCCCCAGTGCGAGCGCCTTGCTTGGGCGATTGCTCGAGCCTCAGGCGCCGGAGTCCCTTCCAGCCCGCTGGCGAGGCTGGGCATCACCGACACGTCGACGAGGCCGTCGAGCAGATCTTCATCGGCTCGGCTCGGCGACCTACCACTCCCTGCGGGCGAAGGTCGCGGTGGAGGCTGAGGAGGCGGTGGCTGCTGTGAATGCGGGGCTGCGTTCCTCGCGCTTCATGCGCGCCCCGCCGCGTGTGAGCCGCCCTCCCGCGCCAGCTCTGCTGGCCCCGCCGCCTGAGGGTGCGCCTGTGAGCAGTCGCTGAGCGACGCGGCGGGCGCTGCGGCCGAGGCGGCCGAGGGGCGAACAGACTCGCGGCCCCGCGCTTGGCTCCTCGTCCTCCTCCTCCTTCCTCCTCCTTCCTCCTCCTCTCCTCCTCCTCCTCCTCCTCCTCCTCCTCCTCTTTCTTTCTCTTCATCCTCTTCCTCCTCCTCGTCGTTCTCCTCCACCTCCTCCCTCTCTTCCTCCCTCCTCCCTCTTCCTCCTCTTCCTCCTCCTTCTCCTCGTCCTCCTCCTCCTCCTCCTCCTCCTCCTCCTCCTCCTCCTCCTCCTCCTCCTCCTCCTCCCCTGAGCAGGCCCTTGAACCGGAGGAACGACGTCCGAGCACCGCCTCCCCCCCCCCCGAAGCGGAGGTGCCCCTCGCGGCGTCGCCGCGCCCCGGCTGCGATGGAGAGGCCCGTGGCGTCGGAGCCCGCGGCGTCCACGGCCGGGGAGGGGTGCGGAGCTGCGGCGGGGCGTGCCTCGGGCTGCTCATCCCTCCTCTCAACCAGGCGAGCGTCTCGATGGAGAGAACAAGCGCTGCTTGGGGATGGACAGATGGAGAGGGAGGATGCACGAGGACGAAAAGGAGCGGGTCGGCTAAGGTGGCTGCTGTTGGCTGCTGCGGCGGGGCGTGCTTCTCGGGCTCGGGTCGTGGGGCTCCGCATCCCGTGGGTGTGTTTTGTGGTGTTCGTTTTGTTGGTGGTTGCTTTGTTTTATGTGTTAGGTTGTTCGTGTGTTTTTGGGTCGTGTGTGTGTGTGTGGGTGGGTGTTGTTGGTTGCTGCGTCTGTTTGTCACTGCCTGTTGTCGTTCTGCCCCCGGACCTCCCACACGCTCCGTGGCCCCAGAGAAGGCTCCACCGAAGGCCCTGGATATGCTGCGTTCGCAGGCGGCCCCGCCCCATGCCAATGGACCCCTCACACGTCTTGTGGCCCCATATGAAGCTCCACCAAAAGGCCCAGGTTGCTGCGTTCGCACAAGGCCCCGCCCCAATTCGGCAGACCCAGCACACGTTTCGCGAAGACAAGGGAGCTCCACGACTACGCGTTCGTCGCCGTCTTCCCTCGTGCGGATAGAAGCCCGAGAGTGCGTGCGTGAGTTGAAACCGTTGGATATGGCTTGACCTTTTTTGGGGCGAAGCGCGCAGGGGCACCACGGGCCTCTCGCAGTATTCTTCTGTATGGAATTGTCCTCAATGTGGTTGCCTCGTTTTGAGAATGGGCTGGGCTCTCCGCTGGGCTACTTCTGCCCAGCGCTTCTGCCTGTGTTCGGCCACCTGTTTGTCTCCACGGGCTGCCAGGGACCCTGGGGATCATCCGGAGGCAGGACCGGACCTCTCCGGCCCCCCGCCTCCCTCCCACGCCTCCCCCCCCGAGCTCCCTGGCCTCTCCTGGCCGGCTGGCCCGACGGCGCCTGCCCCTACAGTGGAGGCCCACGCCAAGAAGCAGCCTGTTTGCCTCCAGGGTGCCCTGGATTTCTTGGGTTTCGTCACCAGCCTCGAACCTATCCCTATCCCTAAGATTGACACGCTAAAAGGAGATGACAACCTCAGGGATACACCCTCAGAAACCGAGGAACTCCCTAAGATCGCCATCGTGATGAGGCGAAGCCCAACATAGGGATAGGGATATGTTCCAGGCTGGTAATTTCGATGGTGCCGCTGCGGAGGGCGTGCCGTTCCCACACGAAAATTCGATGGACGCCCTGGGGTCTCAGGGTTGGGCTTCTCGTGGCAGGTTCCGCGATGTCGGGCCTCAACTGTACTCCCGCCTGGAACAAATGCCCCCCCCCCCATCCTTGTCATTGGCATCGCCGTGCGGCCGGGGGTAAAAATTTGTGGACACTCCCCCGCTCACCCAGGCTCAAAGTTGGCACACGCGGGGGAGACTGCGGTCGAGATGGAATTCGTCAGACCCGCCGCCAACTTCGAACATTAGGGGGAGGGGGAGGCGTTGACAGATGATTATGGCATGCGTATTCGCCATTTTTTCCGGGGCGTTCACCTCGACGCCGATCGCCAGGATTTCCTCGACTTCTGAAGGCTCGTCCCTGTCTGGGGCTTGCTGGCCTCAGGAACAGGGATGGGAGCTCGAGGCGTGCTGCGCTCGGGTGCGCCCCCGCGTGCGCCCTCCCAGCGTTGGGCTGGGAGGCACCTGCAGTGGGGGCGCGTATCAAGAAGCCATGTATGCTTCCTCCTCCTCCTCCTCCTCCTCCCGCCGCTGCTCCTCCTCCTCCTCCTCCTCCTCCTCCTCCTTCTCCTCCTCCTCCTCCTCGAGCGCGGAGGGGGGGCGCCCTGCGCGGGGTTTGGGTCTGGGGAGGCGCTGGCCATGTCCACGAACTCGCAGCAGCTGCGGCCCGCGCCGCCGGCTCCTCGGCTGCCCCGGCGTTCCGTGCGGGGCGGGGATGGGGGCCAGGGGCAACGTTCGGAGGTGTGGGCTTCGGGGGAGGAGGAGGAGGAGGAGGAGGAGGAGGAGGAGGAGGAGGAGGAGGAGGAGGGCCAGGCGGACGATCCTCTGGTGCACCAGTCCACGTTTGGCCCTGCACTGGGTGCGGATGGCCCGTGCGCGCCGCCCGCCTGCCCATACGGTGGGATGGGGGCCAGGGGTAAGTCGGGCCTGTCCCCCTACAGGGGGATTTTCGACGAAAACTAAGACATACCCCCCAAAATAGTCCAAAGATCGTCCAAAAATAGCATTTGCTTAGTATTATTTGACATGTTGGGGTATTTTTGTAGTATTTTGTTCGTCGAAAATCCCCCTGTAGGGGGACAGGCCCGACATAAGGCCAGGGGGGGCAACGTTCGGAGGTGTGGGCTTCGGGGGGGGGGGGGTCACGCGCAGAGGGGTGCAGGGGGAGGGGGAACGGCTTCTCAGAAGCACCCCTGCTGCTCAGAGGGCGCGGGCCTGCTCTGCACATGTAGGACTGGCGCCTTCTGAGAAGAGAGGCGGCCCCCTTTCGGGGGAGCGTAAGACCCGGGTTTGCCAGGACTCGGGTTCGCCATCGTTTTTTGACCACCGCGACTCGGATTTTGACGAGTAGGAGTTTCGTGGGATGTCTGCAGCGGGAGGCCTCGTCAAAATGCAGGCTCGGCCTCGTCATTTTTGTTGACGACCTCGTCGGGGATTTCCGAGCCCCCTGTACCCGGGTCTTACGCCCCCCTGACCCTTCTAAGGAGTATTCCTCCCTCCCACCAGCCCTCTGCGCGCGCCGACAGCTTCGGGGGGGGGGTTGCATCGACCACCACTCGCCCCAAGCGCCCACTGGTCGCCGGCAGGGGCCCGGCAGCCCGCCCCGCCAGGGAGCGTGCGGATTTTCGCGATCGAACGATGCCCGCTCGGCGTTTCGCCCCTCGGCTGCATCCACTCTGTCGTTGCCCCCTGGGGTGGGGGGAGAGGATGAAAGGAGGGAGGAGAGGAGTGAAGGATCAATCTGTGCGCTCGCGCCAGAAGAGGGGGAGCAGAGGGAGGGGAGGGAGGAGAGGGATGAGGAGCAGGAGGAGGATGAGGAGGAGGAGGAGGAGGAGGAGGAGGAGGAGGAGCAGGAGGATGATGATGATGATGATGAGGAGGAGGAGGAGGAGGATAATGATGATGATGATGATGATGATGATGATGATGAGGAGGAGGAGGAGGAGGAGGAGGAGGCGGACCTTCTGGAGGCTCTGCACATATGCTGGTCATCGGAGCTTTTGAATCGCCTCAAGATCCAGAATTCAGTGCACAATGTGATTCGAGCTTCCAGCCGAAACCCCGCACACTCTTCTGGGCCATTGGAATTCAACAAGGTGAGACCCGAGAAGTTTAAGGATTTCTAAGTGCAAACCTCGTGCCGCCATTGCTGCACATTCGGTGCAACTCCCGTTCTCGTCCGCCTTCTTCTCGTCTGTCGTAATATGTCAGGCGCAAAGTAATACTGGTGTCAGTTTAGGTAAGTGTGTATTCGAGTGCCGGGAGAGGGATGCTCGTTACCCGATGATTGGCCCAC